TTAACTGAGGTTATGCGGGTATGAAGTACGCATATATTCGCTCATGAACAGTCAGAAATTAGGATAAAAATTTCAAAAAAGAACAGGATAACGAAAAGTATCATGGTTGTCGCACGTCAAGGGAACTGCGTACAACAAAGTTGGAAGGCACGGAACAGCTGCTTACACCGTACTGGGTATCCATCGAATCCACATAACCTCACTGACGTGTCTGATTAAAACTGACCATCAAATCACTAACTAGACTGATTCACTGTGTGTATCCGAAATTATTCAAAACAGTTATATATTTGAAACACTGGGTCCCCTTTATCCATCGTATCAAAACCGAAAGAAAACATATGTCGCGATTCTTTTGAACTTTCCAAATGCTTAGAAAAAATTTGACAACAGCTTTACAGCGGATGCATTCGATAAATGTGGATTCCCTTTTCACCAATGTTTCACTCCATGAAACAGTTGATTATTTATGTGATTGTATTTCTTCAGGTAATTTTTCCCTTGCAATTCCTCTTGAATACTAAAGAGAAATAATATTTTTATGTACCGAAAACATTTGTTTTGAATTCGAAAAAGCCACATACAAATAGATTGATGGCGTGGCGATGCGCAGTCCATTAGGCCCAATTTTAGACGATGTAGTTTTAGGAGTGATTGAACAAAACCTTGCTAATAATATCTCCCAGCCCACCATGTACAGACGTTACGTGGACGATATTTTTATTCCTACGGAGCGTGAACATTTCGAATCCCTTTTGAGATAATTTAACTCTATTCATCCAAATCTTTCCTTATCCCATGAAGAAAAAAGCAACGATTCTTTAGCATTCTTGGATAGTAGAATTACGAGGCACTTAGATGGTACATTACAGTGCTCCACAAAAAAGTAACATGGAATGGCCAGTATTTACAGTTCTCTAGCTTCTCACCATGACTTACGAACGTGGACTCGTACGATTCTGTTTCATCGAGCCAAAAGTAATCAGGCGGTCACACATAATCCGAGGTCATCAATTGCAAAATACCTCATGACAACCGATCACATAATTGATCCCGCTTCCTCTTTTAGACGGTTGTTACATAACTGTAATTCAAAACTGTTGGCGATAAGTGAGGCGTTGCTAATCCAATTACATAATCTCGTTCTGTACGACCAAAAGTTGTTGATCCAATCAGTTCACTTGCCGTGGAGTTGGCCTATATTTTTTTTTAAATTCTGATAGCCTAACTGTACATGTCCGTTATCTATGATTTACAAATCCAGTGAGCTATAAATGTGCTTTGTTTGTTTTGCGTCAGCGATTGAGAAGATTAAACGAAATGTTAACACCTCGAGACATATGTCTCCTTTCAGTCTTGATGCAGTTATATGTGTCACATTTCATTTTCCGGCTCAGTTTTTCCGTGCTTTCTATATGTATCCCCCCCCCTTGTGGATTTGAGGATTCTAGGGCACCGTTTAGCAAAATTTGAAAACCCAAACTGGATTGTTAGAGAGCGGTTTAGTTTCCAACACAAAGGACTGAGATTACAGAAGTTGTAGTCCAGTTGGAACCAATTGTACTGGGGTCCGCAACCTGAACTGGAATATGCAATAAAGCTGATCAGCTGGTATCATTGTCCGTCGAATTGGTGTTTAGTTTAATTGATTCCACCCAACAAACATAGGGGATAAAAGTGTTAAACAACCTCTATACAAGACAAACGATTACGGCAAATTTTGTTATTAAAATTCTTTGAATGTATTTGGGGATTAGCATCATGAAACAAAACACAAGGGACTATCATCAGTGTGATTCTAACGTTATACAAAAAAAATGCGTCCAACATACAGTTTTGCGCAAAATCATTTTGCGTGGAGACCAACAACAATCATGAGATAATTGTATCCGTCCAGTTGCACATTTTTAGCAGTGTGTACTTCCCTCCCGAGACACAAACTACGATCTTCTGAGTTGGGAACCGAAACCCTCACCCATGATCGACAATGATCTGTCAGTGAATTTGCACAGAATTAAAAAAAAATCGTATTGTATACGACAGTCTGATCAGTTGATGCTTTGCCTATTGGTATTTTCCTTTATTTTGTTGTCCGAATTCGGTACGCCGCTTACGGTTTTCAGTTCCCTTCGCCTTTCATATGTGGGCAGTAATTGCGTGAGATCATTACAAGTGGGAGTAGTTTGTGCAGGCGACAGTGATCCGATTCTCTCGGCTTGTTGAAGAAACATGACGTAAGGTGGGTCAATTTCAGAAACACATACATCTGTATGTGAGTGTCATACGGAGTCCCATAGATTGGTAAACGTTAAATCAAGTTTTCTGAACGACAGTTTATTTAATGTTGATTCCGTGGAGGAGATTAGAAGTCAGCAGAATTGCTCTACCTCCTCTAGGAATATGCAAACAGCATTGATATAAATCGCATAAGAAGCAGGTTTGCTTTATAACTTCAGTACCTTGAATTATTAGAGGTTGACTGATCACGTTAAAAACCATATGATGCATTTGTAATATGCTTTTAATCATTGTCGCTACTACACCAATCATAAAGACATCTTCAAATAATTTGCAAACCAATAACACCTGAAATTGTGATGTAAAAATTACAGGTTTATGGAACTTATCAGGACCGTTAAGTTGCTACTAAATGCTCAACGACAGACCAGGAGTGCTGTTTGGGAACGAAGAGCTGGGGTCCGAGAAAATTATGATTAAATACTCGGCCTCTGAATCCTGATTCTTAACAGAGAAGCTACAGTAGGAACAACGTTTTATAAGCCACTGTTAATAAAAGAAAACCAGAGGAAGGTACAAATCTGATCTGTTCGCAATAAACGAAGTGACCTCGAGAAACGAATAAACTCTAATACTTCTAGGACATTTTATCCCATACCAACGAAGGTAGTGCGAAATGAAAAGAATTCGAGGCTCAAAGAATTACTGTATAGACGAATGTCATAGCTGAATTCAATCAGGTCGATATATTGCTTCCAGTTGTGGCGTAACCACCGACTTTCTCATTATTCTCACCCTGTCTGCTCCACAAATTCATGCAAGATAACTTTTTTGTCCCTAAAGAACACGTCCGACAGAGATCGCATTCACGGAGTGTTGGTGAAGCTAACATATTTCATTTTTTTAGATGAAAGGAGGAACTGTATAGTACATCAATTGTGGCGGTTCAGACAAGTAAAAGATTACTGTTTTATCATCAGTTTTATAGCAACCCATTTCACTTTTCCACGCTGTGTAGTATCGTTTTATGTTTTAAGTTTTTTCCAGCAAAGTGTGCAACTTTTTATCATTCGGGAATCAAAGAGCTTTCTCTCGCATGAAAATGTTTATTTCTGGGAGGGATAAACCTGCATTCCCGTTGAAGTCGCACCCACTGTCCAAGAATCACCGTATTAATCCCTGATGTTTTTATACAAAATCCGTTAATTTCGGCAATTTCCGCTCAATTTTTCCATCAAGTTACATAATCTTTCTTTTGTGTCATATCACATTCGTTACTCAAGCAAAGGAATGAGGTACTGCAGAAAACTCATTCCCTCGTGTTCTGTTGCTTAAATTATCAATGTTCTGTCCGATCCGCTTACACATATTCATACTCTACTTTGGTTAAACAGTACTCTTTTGTCTCTTGTGCTTGCAAGGTCCAATAGTTGACCTTACCTTGACTCCTCATTCCTCGCGACCACTTATAGGGAACAAGCACATCCATAAAAGCAGAAGTTGATTGAAGTGTCGAAAAAAAAACTAAATCTATCTGTATATGACTGTCTATCTATATATGGCTGATTTCGACCGGTTCATCAGTCGCACACATTTCAACAGTGATACGCACGACAAAACCTATGTCAAGAACAATAATGAATTTGGAAAAATAGGAAGCACTTTTTGCGCCTAAAGTATTTGAATACAGAAGCCAAAAACACGGGGTTTGTACAATGTATCCTGGATCATGCATTAATGAACACACGAGGCGCAATATGCACGTGTATAGATGCAGTAAAATGATCCAAAATGATACATTGTGCTAACCCGTGTTTTGGCTTCTTTATTCTAATGGCTTTTTCTTGATAGAGGTATTACATCCAGTATTCCATTATGTTCTGATAAGCACAGACGAAATTGTATCTTTGCTCTGATCGTTATTGGATTCCGGAAAAATGTGGAAAGGTCACCGCTGAAACTACAAACAAATCCCTTTAGTTCTTGACGGAATTATACCCGAGAGAAATTCCTGATTCCTGAAGGACTTGCAGTGAAAAATGTACATGCCGATTTTCTATCAAATATATCAGCTTATTTTCGTCCCAGAAGTGATGTAATCACAAATACACCAGAGAACAGATCCCACTATTTCGTGTCAATAAACAAATGCGAAAGCCGCACACAAAGCCATCAGTCCTAGCGCACAACATGATGACGGTCATTAGACGACAAAGGACAATGAACTCCAGTATTTGTGATAATTGTTGTATTGTACATTGAATTCCACCAGAGAAATAGCATTCAAAACTGCAAAACAATGTTGAACAGATTTACCAACTCTTGTAACTGTAGATAGGAGAATAGTCCTTCTGACGTTAAGTTTATCCCATCATTATACCAGCCTTTCAACTCATCGTACCGCGGTATTTATTCCAAGTACGAGCAAATTGAGACTCCTCTGGACTATCGTTAGTCATACTTCGGAGAACATACACCTGTCCGTTAATTTCATCTACATTCGGTATCTAAATTGGATTTCGGACATGTTCAACTGAAAAAGGTATAGATACAATTGAAAGTCCAGTGACAATAAATCAATGCTAACACTAGGTAATCAATAAAGGTAATTATTGGTTTTACACGTAGAACCTTCACAATACGACACTACGATCAGAATGAGTTTGACCGAAAATAAAAATTAATTTCATTGTGGCATTGTGGTGTTGGGGGACGGGGTGCGATTAAACGATCTTTCCTAGTGTGCACATATCTCAATACATTCAGTCACTCACTTTACACACAAACGGTCTGGCTCCCGTATGAATGGGCATATGTCTGGTCAGATTGTAGTGTGCCGTGAAAACTTTTCCGCAGTGGGGACAAGTGTACAATTTGCCCGACCCAGAATCATCCTCCAAGCTCAGTCCAGCCGATTGCGTGGGTCTAACATCAGGAAAGGATGGATCAAGGGGATCCGCATTGATGTACTGCGTGGATTCACCAGATTGCACCGTGGCAGGCTGACCACGTGTTGTGAGGTAATCGATTGAAGCGAGTTGTATTGGGGAGGAGGAAGAAATAAGATCCGTCGACCCAGAAGGATCATCCGGACTGGACGAAGGTATTGGAGTTTCCGGACGAGATGCACTAATAATTCGTTCGATAGAGAAACTGCCAAGAACCGAAGCCATCGAAGAATGTGCAGATGCAACTGGATCAGAGATGGGTGGTCTTTACGAGAAGCGGAACGGAATGAAGACAATAACCATATGTCAACGCACGACTGCTCACAAGAAAGTAATGATGAGAAGTATTTTGACAGGTTTCAAACACTGCGTGCAACTCGCGCTGTGTATGTTTCAAAACCGCTGCTATGCAATCGGATTCTGAATGGGATAGCGAGACCGCTCTGACCCTAACTCATCAAGTGGCCACGTACACATACACTCAGAAGAAAAGAATTGATCTCTGCGTCGCAGGTGGCACTAATTTGAATATTAGGAACCACTGAATTTGCTGAAACGTTGCAAGGCAATCCAATCAATCGGCAAAAACTTTTGGTTTAACAATATCGATCTATCAGCTGCATATGTATGGAGGATGACCAAGAACCGCATACAGGAGTGACGAAAGGAGAAAGGTTCAACTAATATTGTTCATGAAACCAACGAGATCATTAGGTGTCCTTTAGTATCACTATCTGTGAGTCTTTCAAATGGCACGGGTTTTCCATTGTTAGCGAAACTGGCATTTTGCTTCATTGAATATCCTCGAAGAACTACCGAGTAAGAAAGCTAATTCGTACAGTTAAAAGTCATCAAAAATTTTGTCCAAAGCTAGATGAGGAATTCAAACGAGTGCAACGTGAACCGAAAAACATTCTCGTATCCATTCATTGTGCGAATAATTTAGCACTTACGCGCGCACATCGTCTCTGTGATTCTGTCGTGTTATTCATCATCATCCACAACGATAGTACGGATCTGTTGTCGAAATCCGATTTGACAGGTGTGCTTCTAATTTTAGTTTCCTGATTAACAATCCACTTGACTTTATTTTCATTTCATTCGGGCAAAATACATCGAGGGTATTTTTCTATATGTACCTATTCATAAACGTAGACAGTTCTGTTTGAGTGACAGATTCTTAAAAAGTCATTGTGAATCGTGAGGCGAGCTTTGTAAATTGCGTGTTTTATACGGGCCTCGGTTAATTCAACAAATCGATCAGATAATTTCCTTCAAGTATTAGAATTTCGAAATACGGAAAACCGGTGAAAACTAAACAACTGCCTGCAAAACGGAGTGCTAGGTGAGTTTCCAATAAACGATTAC